CTACAATACACCCGTCTCCCTTCCCTCCTCTTTCTCCTTTCTCTTCCTACAATATACCCTTCTCCCTTCCCTCCTCTTTCTCCTCTCTCTTCAGACAATACACCCGTCTCCCTTCCCTACCCTTTCTCCTTTCTCTTCAGACAATATACCCTTCTCTCTTCCCTCCTCTTTCTCCTCTCTCTTAAAACAATATACCCATCTCCCTTCCCCCCTCTTTCTCCTTTCTCTTCCTACAATACACCCGTCTCCCTTCCCTTCTCTTTCTCCCTTTCTCTTCAGACAATATACCCGTCTCCCTTCCCTCCTCTTTCTCCTCTCTCTTCAGACAATATACCCGTCTCCCTTCCCTACCCTTTCTCCTTTCTCTTCCTACAATATACCCTTCTCCCTTCCCTCCTCTTTCTCCTCTCTCTTCAGACAATATACCCGTCTCCCTTCCCTACCCTTTCTCCTTTCTCTTCCTACAATATACCCGTCTCCCTTCCCTCCTCTTTCTCCTCTCTCTTCAGACAATATACCCGTCTCCCTTCCCTCCTCTTTCTCCTTTCTCTTCCTACAATACACCCGTCTCCCTTCCCTCCTCTTTCTCCTCTCTCTTCAGACAATATACCCGTCTCCCTTCCCTTCCCTTTCTCCTCTCTCTTCAGACAATATACCCGTCTCCCTTCCCTCCTCTTTCTCCTCTCTCTTCAGACAATATACCCGTCTCCCTTCCCTACCTTTTCTCCTTTCTCTTCCTACAATACACCCGTCTCCCTTCCCTTCTCTTTCTCCTCTCTCTTCAGACAATATACCCGTCTCCCTTCCCTACCCTTTCTCCTTTCTCTTCCTACAATACACCCGTCTCCCTTCCCTTCTCTTTCTCCTTTCTCTTCAGACAATATACCCGTCTCCCTTCCCTCCTCTTTCTCCTCTCTCTTCAGACAATATACCCGTCTCCCTTCCCTACCCTTTCTCCTTTCTCTTCCTACAATACACCCGTCTCCCTTCCCTCCTCTTTCTCCTCTTTCTTCAGACAATATATCCATCTCCCTTCCCTCCTCTTGCTCCTTTCTCTTCAGACAATATACCCGTCTCCCTTCCCTACCTTTTCTCCTTTCTCTTCCTACAATACACCAATCTCCCTTCCCTTCTCTTTCTCCTTTCTCTTCACACAATATACCCGTCTCCCTTCCCTCCTCTTTCTCCTCTCTCTTCAGACAATATACCCGTCTCCCTTCCCTCCTCTTTCTCCTTTCTCTTCCTACATTATACCCGTCTCCCTTCCCTCCTCTTTCTCCTCTCTCTTCAGACAATACACCCGTCTCCCTTCCCTCCTCTTTTTCCTTTCTCTTCCTACAATATACCTGTCTCCCTTTCCTCCTGTTTCTCCCCTTCTCTTCCTACAACATACCCGTCTCCCTCCCCCTTTCTCTTCCTACAATATACCCGTCTCCCTTCCCTCCTCTTTCTCCTCTCTCTTCAGACAATATACCCGTCTCCCTTCCCTCCTCTTTCTCCTCTTTCTTCAGACAATATATCCATCTCCCTTCCCTCCTCTTTCTCCTTTCTCTTCAGACAATATACCCGTCTCCCTTCCCTACCTTTTCTCCTTTCTCTTCCTACAATACACCAATCTCCCTTCCCTTCTCTTTCTCCTTTCTCTTCACACAATATACCCGTCTCCCTTCCCTCCTCTTTCTCCTCTCTCTTCAGACAATATACCCGTCTCCCTTCCCTCCTCTTTCTCCTTTCTCTTCCTACATTATACCCGTCTCCCTTCCCTCCTCTTTCTCCTCTCTCTTCAGACAATACACCCGTCTCCCTTCCCTCCTCTTTTTCCTTTCTCTTCCTACAATATACCTGTCTCCCTTTCCTCCTGTTTCTCCCCTTCTCTTCCTACAACATACCCGTCTCCCTCCCCCTTTCTCTTCCTACAATATACCCGTCTCCCTTCCCTCCTCTTTCTCCTCTCTCTTCAGACAATATACCCGTCTCCCTTCCCTTCCCTTTCTCCTTTTTCTTCTTACAATACACCCGTCTCCCTTCCCCTTTCTCCCCTTCTCTTCCTACAATATACCCGTCTCCCTTCCCTCCTCTTTCTCCTCTCTCTTCAGACAATATACCCGTCTCCCTTCCCTACCCTTTCTACTCCTACAATACACCCGTCTCCCTTCCCTCCTCTTTCTCCTCTCTCTTCCTACAATACACCCGTCTCCCTTCCCTACCCTTTCTCCTTTCTCTTCCTAAAATACACCCGTCTCCCTTCCCTCCTCTTTCTCCTCTCTCTTCAGACAATATACCCGTCTCCCTTCCCTTCTCTTTCTCCTTTCTCTTCCTACAATATACCCTTCTCCCTTCCCTCCTCTTTCTCCTCTCTCTTCAGACAATATACCCGTCTCCCTTACCTTCCCTTTCTCCTTTCTCTTCAGACAATATATCCGTCTCCCTTCCCTACCCTTTCTCCTTTCTCTTCCTACAATACACCCGTCTCCCTTCCCTCCTCTTTCTCCTCTCTCTTCTGACAATATACCCTTCTCCCTTCCCTCCTCTTTTTCCTCTTTCTACAGACAATATACCCGTCTCCCTTCCCTTCCCTTTCTCCTTTCTCTTCCTACAATATACCCGTCTCCCTTCACTTTCACTTTCTCCTTTCTCCTACTGCCAGGCGACCAACGATAACCAATATTTTCTTTCAAATACAAATCAAAACGAAAACCAGATTTGTTTGACAATGTCGTTATTAACTGTTGATTTTAGATAGCTGGCCACCCAGTAATTCGGTTTCGCGATGTTGAAAGAATAGAAAAACAAAACGTAAAATCTTTGTCACCCATATCCTCGATTACCTGGTATATGATGTCTTCATTCTGAATATCACCCTGGACTTATTTGACAGAAAACTGTCCTTTGAGAAGTGACGTCTCCATCTATATTTTCTTAACTTGACACTGCATTTCTCGCCCCCTTGAGTGTACGCTGACAGATCGACTAATAAAAGAACAGTTTCCGACAAAACTGACCTCAACAGAATGGGTCTGGGATATTTATTATAACAGAATGGAGCTAAAATACAGCTTGATTATCGAGGATGAGTCATCCATAGCGTTTACAAATAAACTAGGCAACTCCAGTTAACAACCGGTTCATTAGCATATCAGCAGTCTTATCGTGTTACCCTTGTGATGTCTGTGTGGTCATTTAGTTCAGGGGTGTTGTGTAAACTTAATCCAAAGAAAAGACGATCTAAATAAACATGTCATTGATACAACGAACGTCACATCCAAAACCCCAGTCTCCTTTTAAGTTGTCACCCAAGAAGGGTGTTTACTGTTTACAATGAACACAGTCTCTGAACTAACGCAATAAAAGTAGTGTCTGTTACTAAAGAATATTTTGCTTTCATCAAATGTCTGAGCCTTGGGTAGTTCATATAATCTCAAGTTACACGTGTCATATTGTACATTCTTCAAGGTGTTTTCATGTCCCCCGTGCGTGTTTGTCTGTTGCTGGTTAACACCATATCCAGTTAAATTCCAGCCATATGTTGGCGATATCAAGTTGGGACCAGACAGTCCAGTGACAGATAATTTGAGTGTCGTTCCAAGTCGGCGTACGTTGACACGAAATCAACCAAGTGACCGAGCCTGACCACCTGATCCATCTGGTCGCCTCATTCGACTGCCATGTGTTGCTTGGCCTTACTTTTACACGGGACCCGTGAAGATCCGGGGTAGAATAGGTCTTCAGCAACCCATGCTTGCCGTAAAAGGCGACTATGCTTGCCATAAAAGGCGACTATGCTTGTCGTAAAAGGCGACTAACGGGATCGGGTGGTCAGGCTTGCTGACTTGGTTGATACATGTCATCGATCCCAATTGCACGGATCGATGCTCATGATGTCAATCACTGGACAAGGCTGATTGAGTGTAACCTAGTTTACTGACGTCATATTGTGTGGGTGAGGTGGTTTAAAAAGGGGGTTAACGTCACGTTCAAGATTATTTTACTTATATAGCGACGTACATCGATGCGTGCGTGCGTGCGTGCGTGCGTGCGTGCGTGCGTGCGTGCGTGGTTGCTTGTACTAGTCCGGACGAATGCCGATTTTATAGTGCTAGCCCACTAGATACCATGCCGCAGTTTAACATGAATACCCACTCACATAGTATACAGACTCCGAACTGACCAGTTCTTGTTTAGGCCCCTTAATGCCGAGCGTAAGGCAGGGTAACAACAAATACCATCTTTCAACGTATTTTGGTATGACGCGACCGAGGATCGAACACCGGACCTTCCGCTCTCATCTTGTGAGGCATCTATTGGAGGTGCCGAGGATTGTGTTGTTTGTCGTACGCGATTTTTGATTGGTTGGTCAGGGTCTCTGACTTGTCTTGATTGTATGTATTCGCACCCACTTACAATACCCCTGATGAAAATATAGAACACTCAGTCATTTGGCAGATTCTATTATAACAGGCCGCCGTGATATAGTTGGAATATTGCACAGCCCACAAAACAAACAATGCAAAAAATAAAAGCGACAAAACCCTTTCCATATTCATAAGGAATCTGCTTAAAGCTGATTCCAAATCGGACTATATCAACAGCATAATTATGATACAAGATGTTTGCGAAAAGATGAGCCTTTGCTGCCCCGTTGGTGCACGCGTCTCAAACACATGTAAACACACTCTACAATGAAACACCTTTAATGTAGCTTGTTGTATTGTATGACTAATGTACATGTACGATGGAACCTAGATTGTAGGATATATCTAGAGTGCAGTGTCATACAAGCCTACAAAGTGTTACAGAGCTCTTATCATTGACTTCACACTGCATGACGTTGCATGATAGAGCGAGATGTCAGATGAACACGAAACCCATCACGGAAAACACAATACGCTTGTCTCCTGTAGCGTCTCCACAGCGTCACCCAGAAGACATCGTGTGTGTAAAGCATGGCAGGACGCCGTCAGACCTAGAGCAAATCTACTCCAAGACCGTCAGACCTAGAGCAAATCTACTCCAAGATAAGTATGTTGCTGTAGTATCGAGAAACATTGAGGGAGTGTTTGTTTCAAGGCTACTTAAGGCTGTTTTGTTGCGTGTATCTTGTTTGAAAAAATATATTTGTGGTTGTTTTTTTAAACAGATATATTTTGTTGGTTTGTTGTTTAATCCGATCCGAATGGTCTCCTCGTCTTCTCATAGGTTCCTGAGGATCAATTCTAACCTATTACCTGCTTGAACCCGTGACCGAAAATAGTGATGAAAATAGGAACACATGTCCATAATGGTTAAATCATATAATTGATGTGGGGTAGCCTAGTGGTTAAAGGACCCGTGAAGAATAGTCTTCAGCACCCCATGCTTGCTGTAAAAGGCGACTATGCTTGTCGTAAGAGGCGACTAACGGGATCGGGTGGTCAGGCTCGCTGACTTGGTTGATACATGTCATCGTATCCCAATTGCGTGGATCGATGCGTATGATGTCAATCACTGGATTGTCTGGTCCAGGCTCGATTAGACCCGTGAAGATTCCGGGGTAGAAAAGGTCTTCAGCAACCCATGCTTGCCGTAAAAGGTGACTATACTTGTCGTAAAAGGCGACTAACGGGATCGGGTGGTCAGGCTCGCTGACTTGGTTGATACATGTCATCGTATCCCAATTGCGTGGATGGATGCTCATGATATTAATCACTGGATTGTCTGGTCCAGACTCGATTATTTACAGACCGCCGTCATATAGCTGGAATATTGCTGAGTGCGGCGTTAAACAACAAACCAAACAAACCCCTAATGATGAAACGATAGCGCACATTCTGATATTACCCAATCAGCTTGTAGGCCTAGCCGGCCGTGCTAATTAAACCACGGCTCATCCTTGGCGCTTTTAAATTCGTTTGGCGTGTCACAAAATTAATACAGACCTTAAAATATGTACTTTTAATGAAGCACAACAGCGCTAGGTTTAAATTGTCACATTGTTTTATAGCTAACGTATTGTACATATAACTGGCTACATAATGATAAAAGAAATCTTACTTTTCATTATCCTTGCACTTTAAGCTGTGTCACAGCGGTCTTACAAATGTCGACATATATACGTTACAAACACTACACCTAGGCCTGGTGTACCCGCCAAGGTCCTTTCAGAACGGGTATACAAAAGGTGTAACTGGGGTAGGTTCAAGGCAGGACAATCACCCATGCATGCAACACAGCCTTACGACGTGTAGGCATGATGCGTTGGTTAGATCTTCCGCTCTGATTTCCTAGGGATTTGGTGGCGCAGTAGTTACTTCAGCCCTGTCACTTCAACATACCTCCTCGCACAGCGGGCCTGAAGATGACGTTGTTAAGGTAAGACGACGTATGTAATGTCTACATGAAACTACGAGAAGTCCCATTGTCAGATTGATTACGACTGGAATAGTGTTATTTATATGTCGTTTTGTTTGCTGACTGAATAGTTGAATAGTTGAACTTTACAATGGAGATACCTTATGTTACATTGTCGTTATGTCGGTCTCTACCTATTTATAAACCTCCGAGGTGGTTGTGTAATCCCGTGAGGTTTTTTTAAATGGTTGAATTTCCCCAAAGAGCGCATTAGTTTAAATGTAATATCTTGCAGTCGGGTTTAGAATGATTGAAAACCCACCTATGAGGGCTTACAATGATTTATTGTAAACCCTCCAACAAGGGTTACAATCATTGGAAACCCTCCTATCGGTAGTACTAATACTTCTATACTTATAAATTTGTTCTTATTGTTTCAAACGTCCATTGTTCTAAAATCGAAGGCAATAAATGAAAGTTTTTATTATGGTAACGGGAATCGAACCTGCAGCCTCACATATTGTATCTAGTTTTGAAAGCCACTGATTTCCCACTGAGCCATCGGGGCAGGTGTTGAAAAGGTGTTGAATTTCACATGTCATGAATCCAGTTGGTTCATGCTGCTCGTGGATTTTCTCTCGCACGCATTGATTGAATTCCTTTATAGCGCGACACGCTGTATTGTTTCACTATAAGGTATCTCGATCTTTTCTTAGTTTTTCTGGTATTTCTTGCATTTAGACGGTTCATACGTTGAATAAAACACGACTCGTCGGTTTTGGTTTAAAATGTAAAAAAACCCGACCAGCAAAGTTATCTATATCACGAGTCACTTTATAAGTTGGACAAACCACTTGTGGTTACTTGAGACTGTAAACCATGACAGTTGGGAACATTCCGTGGGGGCCGCAAACCTCCTGTCAGTATCTCATTTACATAACCTGGTGTTGCCTTATAGTAATATCACCGTCTATCTATAGCCTGATGTTACTCTGTAGTAACATCAGCACCTAACTATATATAACCTGACCCGTGAAGATACCGGGGTAGAATAGGTCTTCAGCAACCAATGCTTGCCGTAAAAGGCGACTATACTTGTCGTAAAAGGAGACTAACGGGATCGGGTGGTCAGGCTCGCTGATTTGGTTGATGCATGTCATCGATCCCAATTGCATGGATCGATGCTCATGATATTAATCACTGGATTGTCTGGTCCAGACTCGATTTTTTACAGACCGCCGTCATATAGCTGGAATATTGCTGAGTGCGGCGTAAAACAACAAACAAACAAACCAACCAACCAACCAATATATAACCTGATGTTGCTCTATAGTAACATCAGCTCCTACCTATATATAACGTGATGTGGATCTATAGTGACATCAGCGCCTACATAGATGTAGCCTTATGGTGCTCTATAGTAACAACATCGCCTACTTATTTATAACCTGACGTGACTCTACAGGTACATCAGCGTCTAATTATATAACCTGATGTTGCTCTGTAGTAATATCAGCGCCTACCTACACATAACCTGACACTGCTCTGTATTAACTTTTTGTTTGTTTGTTTGTTGTTTAACGCAGCACTCAGCAATATTCCAGCTCTATGACGGCGGTCTGTAAATAATCGAGACTGGACCAGACAATCCAGTGATTAATATCATGAACATAGATCCACGCAATTGGGATCGATGACATGTATCAACCAAGTCAGCGAGCCTGACCAACCGATCCCGTTAGTAGCCTCTTACGACAAGCATAGTCGCCTTTTACGGCAAGCATGAGTAGCTGAAGACCTATTCTACCCCGGATCTTCACGGGTCGCTCTGTATAGGAATGGCTCTGTATTTACATCAGAGCCTACCTATATGACATGTATTCCGCTATAACCTAAGGGATTATACATATACCCTGATTATACATACCGCTGATGAGACATAGTCCCCCTCGCAAATATAACGGTGAGCGCTGACATGTCCATAGGGTTACGAGACGAGCGCCTGTGGTGTAGAATTGTAATCGCATTCACATCATACCAGTAAACTGGCACGGTGAGGGATATCCATGTACGTCAATCTTCCCTATCCAGACAACACAGTGAGGTAATGTGCTCCCTTATCGTCATTCGCTCTGTCCGATAAGTGCACTGACCTCAGTAGCTCTACTCAATGACCTGGTAGATTGAACCATCACCCGACGGCGTTGATCTTTATCACACACAGATATGCTTGGCGTAAGATGGGACTATATGGATCCAGGGTCGGTCACCTGCTTGACTGCGCATCTCCTAACCCGACATTGTCGACATTGCGAGAAAATCCTTGCCATATTCATAAAAAATAATTGCTAAAAGCTGAGTCGATTGTACGATTCCGACCATATCATGAGCACGTGGTTATGAATCACAATGGTGATGATACCAGGTGTTCGAGAAAAGGTGAGCGTACCATGTCCATCGGTAACACCCGTCAGAAATACATGCAAAGGCAAGTCAATTCTTTACCCGAAACAACACGGGAACAAATGGTCACGAGACAAGGTCTACATCTGTATTACGCAGATATACCGCTACGTATCGGTGCAAATCAACTCAACAAAACCAAATCACACCAAATCAACAAAACACAGTCGACCCAATGCAATCCATGTGTAACTTTATAGACAGTAATTCAATAGTTTGGAATTTGCGTTCACGCCAAAGAGAAAAGCGTGTTCATCCATGTTCTTTCAAAGCTTGGGAAACACATTGTGCTGTCGCTGTGTTAGTATCGTGTTACGGTTGATGTTCTAATATTTCAGGTGCGTCTGTGTACTACTGGTCGTGCATGCTTGTACTGGGTACCTGTTCTTCCAAGACAGAATACCAAATGGCGACAGTGTCCCCCACCCATGCAAACCCAACTACATATGGAAAGGTGTCGGCCATATGAGAGCGGTGGGGGGAGGGTTGAAAAATCCATTTGGTCTCGACTTTGCACGTTACAAGCAGGTAAGTTTTTATGTACTGTAAATCATCAAATTTATGCGTCCACAAATGAATGCGATGATTGACTCCTCTAACATGTGTTATAAAATTATACGAGACATTTTACTCCATGATGAAATATGGGTTAGTAGCAGCTGGATCAAATATCAAGTCCTTTCCTAATATTCTCCCGCTTTACGTGTGCTATTCAATGGAATTATTAGCAATTTTCGCATGAATTTCAATTTACATCAATGAATGACATCGTGCGTCCCTCAAAGCTGTATACACGTAAAATTAATTATTAAATATGTGATACTTGGCACTCGTACATGAGACTGTTTCAAGTAATATTAACAGGTGCGTGTCTTGACCTTTTCAGTGGACGCCTGAACTGTGCATGATGGACTCGGACGGAGATGGTTTGACCAATGGTCAAGAGTTAGGTGATCCAGATTGCACGTGGAAAGAAGGGTCCTTTCCGAAACGGACTACAATGCTAACCCATCCAGGTACGTAAACTGTTTGGTTGGTTTGCTGTTTAACGCCGCACTCAGCAATATTCCAGCTCTATGACGGCGGTCTGTAAATAATCGAGTCTGGACGAGACAACCATGGAGCATTATTACACATGTTGTATAGTACAACAATACACTGACTGTTACACACACACTGTACGGCCCCTTACTGATGTGAATAATAAGCAATTTCAGACTAAATGCTCTATGGTCCCCATGACATCTTAATAACATGCATCATGCTATTACGCAATAATATCATTCAAAGAACTTTATCGTGTATCTGCACTGAAAGTGCCATTTGTCAGTCTTGTATAGGCTCGTGAAGATCCGGGTAAGAATAGGTCTTCAGCAACACGTTTGCCGTAGAAGGCGTCCATGCTTGTCGTTAGAGGCGACAAACGGGTTCGGATGGTCAGGCTTGCTGACTTGGTTGATTATGTCATTGTATTCCGTATGTTATATATGGACACATCTTCGAGCTTCTCACAGTGGCTTAACAAAGTTAATTTCAAAGCACCTTTTAAACCAAACTCACGATTTCTCTTAGCAATCAGTTCTTGTAGTCCTCTTGATTTTTTTGTTTTGCAAAGTTTTCATCTTGCACCGAGAACTGGACCTACCTTCAAATAGCCATCAATGCATAATCCATTTTCCAAGCATTATTTGTACATCCAATAACATAGCTCTTCAGCAACCCATGCATGCCGTAAAAGGCGACTTTTCTAACGTAAGAGGCGACTAACGGGTTCTGATGGTCAGGCTCACTGAGTTTGTTGATGTATGTCATCGTATCCTAATTGCGTAGATCGATGCTCATGATGTCAATCACTGGACTGTCTGGTCAGACCGTTTGAGTTTTCATACTTATATTATCTTTTTACCAGTTGCAATATTTTGTACGCACATATGATACACTGGGTTTTACTGGGTCTCCAAAGGGCGGTCTGGTAGCCCAGTGGTTAAAGTGTTCGCTCGTCACGCCGAAGGACCGGGTTCGATTCCCGACATTGGCACAATGTGTGAAGCTCATTTCTGGTGTCCCCCGCCGTGATATTGCTGGAATATTGCTAAAAGTGGTGTAAAACCGTACTCACTCACACACTCACTGTCTCCAAAGATAGTTCAGCAGGCTTGACTAATGGCCAGCTGCAGGGTGCCGTTGTACAAAACAACCTTAGCGCTACGCCTGTGGTTAGTCTATGTTAAGGTATGGGACTTACGATCACATTAGCTGAAAAAATCACTTTGTACTTTGTACAACCATACCCTGATCTGTTCTACAGGTATATGCGACCCCTGGGGAAGCGAGAAATGTGCAGCGGAAAACGCCAAGGTGGACTGTTCCACGGGGGAGTTCATCTGCGACGCCATTCAGAGCCCAGGTGAGTTCATTAATCAGAGCCCAGGTGAGTTCATTAATCAGAGCCCAGGTGAGTTCATTAAGCATCCGGGCGCACGGGTGGCCCAGTCGTCTAAGGAGCCGCGATTCGCTGTGCAGAGTTGCGTCCCTTGGTAACGCCAGAAACCTATTATTGTGGGTTCGAATCCCGTTTCGCCCCGATTATGTTTCTAGGTTTGTCAGCACCATACCCGTGCTCGTGGGTTTCACCGAAGTGGTAAACGTCTGAGACCTGCATCACTTCGGGCTTTCCTCCCACATTAAGCTGACACGCCGTGATATAACTGGACTACTGTTAAAAGCGGCGTAAAACTAACTCACTCATTAAGCATCCAAATACTGACAGGTGAAACACTCGCACTAAAATATGAGGTGATAATTTCAGGATATCATAAGAGTCCCGTTAATGTGTGTGGAGATTCAATTTCAGAATACATCCCATATACAGCATGCTTGATGCGGACCAGGTGTTCAGGCAACCATCAAAACTTTTTTTAATATTATTTTCCAGGCAAGAAGGCCGATGAGTACAAGGGGGAGATCACGTTATCTTACTTATAATAGTTGAGGGGCGGTCGGGTAGCCTAGTGGTTAAAGCGTTCGCTCGTCACGCTGAAGACCCGGGTTCGATTCCCGACATGGGTAGAATGTGTGAAGCCCATTTCTGGTGTCCCCCGCCGTGATATTGCTAGAATATTGCTAAAAGCGGCGTAAAACCATACTCACTCACTCACTCACTTATAATAGTTTTGTTGGATGATTATCATGTACTTAAGTGAGTGTATTTGGGATACGATACTTCTTAAGCCAATGCCATATGCATCTTTTACAGAATACTATTAGATATGATACTGGCCATTTTCACTAAGAACAATGGCAGAGGGCAATTGCCAATCCCTGAATGTTTCCGTGTCTTATATTTCTTTCACCCTTGAAGATCCGGGTTAGAATACGTCCTCAGCAACCCATGCTTTTCGTAAGAGGCGACTAACTGGATCGGGCGGTCAGGCTCGCTGACATGGTTGATGCATGTCATCGTATCCTAATTGCGTGGATCGTTGCTCATAATATCTATCACTGGATTGTCTGGTCTAGACTGGATTATTTACAGACCACTGTCATATAGCTGGAATATTGATGCGTGCGGCGTTAAACAAAAAAACAAACAAAACAATTATATTTCTTTCAGACGTGTTCAACGTCACGCTGAGATTTCCACCCACCAAAGTCCCATCTGACGACAGTAGCTTGTTTTGTATGACGTTCGATCTGGACATGTTGGATTTGAGTGAGGAATATCATCTGGTTGCATTCAAGCCCTTCATCGATAACGCCTATGTGATGCATCACACCGTACTGAACGGATGCGGGCCCTATGGTAAGGTTGGACTTCATTGCCTTCACTGGAAGCTAGGCTCTGGGAATTGACAGTCCTAGAAAGTCATAAATACCACGTTCTCTTCCTACTCAAATATATAAGACCCGTGAAGATTCCGGGGAAGAATAGGTCTTCAGCAACCCATACTTGCCGTAAAAGGTGACTCTGCTTGTCGTAAAAGGCGACTAACGGGATCGGGTGGTCAGGCTCGCTGACTTGGTTGATGCAGGTCATCGATCCCAATTGCGTGGATCGATGCTCATGATATTAATCACTGGATTGTCTGGTCCAGACTCGATTATTTACATACCGCCGTCATATAGCTGGAATATTGCTGAGTGCGGCGTTAAACAACAAACAAACAATCACATGTAACGTGGAATCTGTGGTCCAGCTCACCGAGAATGTGGTTTCCGGCAATGCGTACTGTTAATGTAGAACCTTCTCGCGCCTCGCAGGCCCCTTTGGACGAATACTTTCTATGAAGCTGAGAATGCATGATATTTAATGTTCATTTATCCGACGACCGAGGTGTTAACTGTACGCGGTTTCAGCATGCACTGTGTGGACTGGTATGCATCTAAATGCCCAGCACTTGAATTGTTACACATTAATTATCATTTTCACTGAAATACAATGTCAATACGGGTTTGTGCCCACTATTTAATTACCCGTGAATAGATATGGACGCGGTGCAATGTATATTTTTTTACCAAAGAATGAAGCCAGTGAGACCCAATGAAGCCAATTTACATCGCACACGACCCGTGAAGATCCGGGGTAGAATAGGTCTTCAGCAACCCATGCTTGCCATAAAAGGCGACTATGCTTGTCGTAAAAGGCGACTAACGGGATCGGGTGGTCAGGCTCGCTGACTTGGTTGATGCAGGTCATCGATCCCAATTGGGTGGATCGATGCTCATGATATCAATCACTGGATTGTCTGGTCCAGACTCGATTATTTTACAGACCGCCGTCATATAGTTGTAATATTGCTGAGTGCGGCGTAAAAAAACAACCCAACCAACCAACATCGCACACACGGCAATACATCTCCTGCTACACGTGCTACAGTTATGCAGCCATCTACTCTAAACCCGATTCGCACCAAATTCTGGGCACATTTGACTTCAATGAGTTATACGGGGGGCACGGGGGGCACGGGGGGCCCAGTCCTCTAAGGCGGCGCGATTCGCTGTGCTGAGTTGCGTTCCTTGGAACGCCAGAAGCCTATGATTGTGGGTTCGAATCCCGGTTCGCCCCGAATATGTTTCTAGGTTTGTCAGCACCATACCCGTGCTCGTGGGTTTCAGCGAAGTGCTAAAGGTCTGAGACCTGCATCACATCGGGCTTTCCTCCCACATTAAGCTGACACGCTAATATAACTGTTATAATGTTAAAAGCGGCGTTAAACCCAACTCACTCACTCACTCACTCAATGAGTTATACACGGTCTGTTTTGTTGCTTTGCTTAAAACAGACACGCGTCAAATGCTTTGTCCCTATTTATTCACTGGTGAACGTAGAGGATACACACCCTGAAGTATTGACGATTTTGACGCATAGTTTACAAACTGGTTTAAGTTTCATTTTTATGTTTTTTTTATGTTCTGATTCACATGTATGAAATTTCTTCAACTCATAATTTTTATGTTCTCAACAGCCGCACCTGTAGCTAAACCCGAGATGTGCAATATGCCTGGCGCACAGTGTCAGCAGTACCTGGCTATTTGGTCGTTGGGGATCACGGGAGATTGTGTACACAAGGATGCAGGGTTTAAGATTGGAGGACCAAATGGAATAAAAAAACTAACTATGCAGGTACAGTGAATGTCATATATGGACACGTCTTCGAACGTCACACAGTGGCTTAAAATTAATTTCAAAGCAGCTATAAACCAAACTCACGCTTTCTTCTAACAATCAGTTCTTGTAGTCTTCTTGATTATTTTGTTTTGCAAAGTTTTCATCTTGCACCGAGAACTGGACCTACCTTCAAATAACCATCAATGCATAATCCATTTTCCGAGCATTATTTGTACATCCAACAACATAGGTCTTCAGCAACCCATGCTTGCCGTAAAAGGCGACTATGCTTGTCGTAAGAGTGACTTGGTTGATGCATGTCATCGTATCCCAATTGCGCGGATCGATGCTCATGATGTCAATCACTGGATTGTTTGGTCCTCACTCGATTATTTACAAGCCGCCGTCATATAGCTGGGATATTGCTGAGTGCGGGGTTAACCCACAAACAGGGGTGGTCGGGTAGCCTTGAGGTTAAAGCTTTCGCTCGTCACGCCGAAGACCCGGGTTCGATTCCCGACATGGGTACAATGTGTGAAGCCCATTTCCGGTGTCCCCCGCCGTGATATTGCTGAAATATTGCTAAAAGCGACGTAAAACCATACTCACTCACCCAGTAAACCTCAAACAAACAAAAACAAATCTAATAACGGAATTTCGAATCCTGGAACAAACAAATAAAATCCACTCAATCTTTTCCCAGCACCACTGGCTCAACCCAGAGCTACGATCAGACTACGTGGACTCCTCAGGTATGACGCTGTACCTGACCAGGAAGATGAGGAAGTACAATGCTGGTTACGTCCACACGGGGGAGATCCACCTCAACATCCCCCCGGGCCAAACTAGACACGTGACCAAATCCACCTGCTCCTCGGCGTGCACCAAGAAGATCATCAAGACTCCCGTGTACTTAATGACGGGCCGAAACCATATGCATTACGTCGGTAGGCGTTGTCATCTATGCCAGGCACCTTTTGGTTGGTTGGTTGGTTTGCTGTTTAACGCCGCACTCAGCAATTTTTCAGCTATATGACGGCGGTCTGTAAATAATTGAATCTGGTCCAGATTAATATCATGAGAATAGATCCACGCAATTGGGATCGATGACATGCATCAACCAAGTCAGCGAGCCTGACCACCCGATCCCGTTACTCGCCTTTTACAAGTATGGGTTGCTGAAGACCTTTTCTACCCCGGAATCTTCACGGGTCCCAGGCACCTTCTAGCAAAGAGTCAATAATACGTTTGTAGAATTAACGAAGGCGGTCATATTGGTTTTTATTACCCACGTGGTGAAGATACAGGTGGTAAGATACGTGTCCTCTGTCACACCGGGACTACTTTTTTCATTCATAAAAAATCGCGAGACGTTATTCATTTTGCAACTACAAGGCAGAACTGAAGACATTAATGAGAACGAGAGATATTAACAAACACTTTATTAAACCAAACCAAATAGTCACACGCATCAAATTCGGTTTGCATTATATATAAGTTACGCATAGAGCTTCTACAGACATTACATAATCGAGCTATAACCATTTACAATGTACGACTACCGATCAATAGAGCGAGGGTCCCCTGAGCCTGACGCACCCGACTACTCTCGCAACTCTCAATTTGATGCTGGGGTGCTGGTCTTATGTTATCAGCGGTAGGTTTCCGTGGGCATTTACTGATGAATATTGCCTCAACTGTGCGTATCTAGTGAAATATTCCACCTATCACGTGATTGTGTCTACAGGTTATGCTGGAAGAGTTGAGCACTTTCGGAATGGAGAGAAAATCGGCGTCCTCACTCCTGACGAGGTGTACAGTTACAGCAATCCTCATGTTTATGAGTAAGTAATTATTTGACTGGTTGGTTGTTTTGCTGTTTAACGCCGCACTCAGCAATATTCCAGCTATATGGCGGCGGTCTGTAAATAATCGAATCTGGACAGACAATCCAGTGATTGACACCACGAGCATCGATCTATGCAATAGGGATACGATGACATGCATCAACCAAGTCAGCGAGCCTGACCACCCGATCCCGTTAGTCGCCTCTAACGACAAACTTAGTCGCCTTTTACGGCAAGCATTGGTTGCTGAAGACCTTTTCTATCCTGGTCCTAGTAGGTACGAATCCAACGTTACTCGGTATACCCATGCTCCTTAATTTAACCAAAGTAGTAATGATGTAAGACTTGCATCACTTCAGGCTTTCCTCCTACTGCATGGTGACTGAATCTGAAATGATTTTAACGTTTAACTCACAGATATAAACAGCCTTATGAACTCTTGCCTGGAGACGTCCTTGAAACTACGTGTGTCCATAGAACAACATCAAGGTCTACGACGACCTTGTTTGGAGACGCTGCCTACGACGAAATGTGTCTTGGGGTATTCACATTCTTCCCAGCAGAGAGTATCACCCACGACTCCTGTTACACGTGGAAGGACTTGGAGCTGTGCTATGTGGAGAATGCAGCCATCCACGGCTGCGAGTACACCATGATCTTCAACGCCACACACCCAACCAGGAAGTCACTCCTGGCAAAGGTAAAGTTTGTTTGTTGTTTAACGCCGCACTCTGCAATATTCCAGCTATATGACGGTGGTCTGTAAATGATAGTCTGGACCAGTGATTGACATCATGAGCATCGATCCACGTAATTTGTGACAATTTAAACCTAGCGCTGTTGTGCTTCATTAAAAGTACATATTTTAAGGTCTGTATTAATTTTGTGACACGCCAAACGAATTTTAAAGCGCCAAGGATGAGCCGTGGTTTAATTAGCACGGCCGGCTAGGCCTACAAGCTGATTGGGTAATATCACCACCAGCTAGGTACAGAATGTGCGCTATCATTTCATCATTAGTGGTTTGTTGTTTAACGCCGCACTCAGCAATATTCCAGCTATATTACGGCGGTCTGTAAATAATCGAGTCTGGACCAGACAATCCAGTGATTAATATCATGAGCATCCATCCACGCAATTGGGAAAGATGACATGCATCAAGCAAGTCAGCGAGCCTGACCACCCGATCCCGTTAGTCGCCTTTTACGGCAAGCATGGGTTGCTGAAGACCTATTCTACCTCGGATCTTCACGGGTCGGCAAAGGTTAAGCAATCTTCACTGTCCATTGTACGTTTCCGGCTTTATCATAAGAACATGTATATCAGTAAAAGCGACTAACGGGATTGGGTGGTCAGGCTCGATGACTTGCTTGATGCATGTCATCGTATCCTAATTGCGTGGATCGATGCTCATAATATCTACCACTGGATTGTCTGGTCCAGACTCGATTATTTACAGACCGCCGCCATGTAGCTGGAATATTGCTGAGTGCGGCGTTAAACAACAAGCCCACATTTCCTTTTGGTAAATTGTCTACAAACTGGGTGTCTAACATATGGTGTCTCACACAAGGTACTCGACAAATTATACAGTCACACTATAAATTTGACTTTGCAACCGCTACTCATAGACCATATATCAGTATGTGGTCTTTGAACTACTATAAATATACCCAATTCCTCATATACATGTAGGTCTTCCGGAAGGTCGGGTGTTCGTGCAATAATCTTGAACGCGACGATACACCCGTTTCACCTCACCGACCTATGGGTCTTCCCTCATTGGACAGCCTCTGTGGTCTGGTGGTAGATGTCCGCCCATAGAGCTGAAGATTCGGGGTTCTATCCCCGGCCACGTCATATCAAAAGATGTTTAAAGATGGTACTTGTTGTTACCCTGTATAGCGCTCGGCATTAAGGGGCTAAAACAAGGACTGGTCGGGTCAGTCACAGTATACTGTGTCCGAGTGGGGTATTCATGTTAAGCTGCGGCATGGAATGTCAGTAGGCCGGCACAATAAATCGGCATCAGTCCGGACTGGTACAAGCAGCCCCAAACACACGTGCATGTACGTCTCTATATAGGGGCAATTAAGCTGGACGCGACGTTAAACCCCATTTCACCTCACTTCACCCTCCCTTATTGCATTATGCTTTTCCCGATACGATTTCAATAAAGAATTTGGTCTTCAGCAACCCTTGCTTGCCGTAAAAGGCGACTATGCTTGTCGTCAGGCTCGCTGACTTGGTTGATGCATGTCATCGATCCCAATTGCGTGGATGGATGGATGCTCATGATAGTAATCACTGGATTGTCTGGTCCAGACTCGATTATTTACAGACCGCCGTCATTAGCTGGAATATTGCTGAGTGCGGCGCTAAACAAATAACCATCCAACCAACCAATTTCATGGATCGATGCTCATGATATCAATCACTGGATTGTCTGGTCCAGATTCGATTATTTACAGACCGCCGTCATATAGCTGGAATATTGCTGAGTGCAGCGTTAAACAACAAACCAACCAAACCAATCAAATTATATTCTCAAAGACATGAAGAGTTGACTTCAATAATCACACCACTACAATGTGTTTCAGGTGCTCAGCAGCTGCAACTACTTTGGCGAATGTCGCAGTGAATGTCCCGCAGCTATTGCAGAGGTTAGACAGCATCCATGCTTCAACGAACAGGTTGGGCCGTACATGATGGACCTCTTGAGGGGCCTCCACCCCAACATGGACATGGTGAAATTCCTCGCAGCCATGGATTCATGCGAATGTCGCAAAGACCCCCCAGGTGTCACCGTCTTCCCGCCCACCAGCAGTGCGGAGCAATTGGGGCCAGCCATCGTTGTCACAGCTCTCCTGGCTGTCACGCTACTCGCAATTTAAACCCTGACCTCTTAAAGCAACAGTAACTGGAGCATTTGGTAGCCATGTCCGTTTTGCAGAAACAAAAGAATTATGCAGTGTATTAAGTCTCCATAAATACCCTGGACCCATACCCTAACATAACTTCGTTTCGAAAATGGAATTACCTAATCTTATATTGTCTTTCCCCTCGTTGACCCGTGAAGATCCGGGGTAGAATAAGTCTTCAGAAACCCATGCTTGCTTTAAAAGGTGACTATGCTTGTCGTAGGAGGCGACTAACGGGATTGGGTGATCAGACTCGATAACTTGGTTGAAGCATGTCATCGATCCCAATTGCGAGGATCGATGCTCATGATTTCAACCACTGAATTGTCTAGTCCCGACTCGAATATTTACAGACCGCCGTCATATAGCTGGGATATTGCGGAGTGCGGCGTAAAACAACAAACCAACCAGCCAACCAACAACTTTCCCCTCTTTGCACATAATTTCTTCAGCACATGAGTGTTCTTTGATTGACATGTTGTTCCTTCAATTCGGTCCCAAAACCAAGCTTTGCTAGCGAATGTGACCAGGGCAATTATCGTAAGGGAATGTAGATATAATACACTGGATTATCGAGGATGCATTATGTGAGAGAGTATAGTTTTACACCGCTTTTAGCAATAGTGCAGCAATATCATAATGGGATACAACAGAAATTGGCTTCACACAATGTACCCATGTTGGGAATCGAACTCGGTCCTTTGGCGTGTCGAACGAGCGCTTTAATTAATAGGCTACCCCAACGCCTCATGTGTGCACTAGAGATTGTCTAGATGAATTCCTATGAAGACAGATTTCCACATGTTGGATTGTGTGGACAATTTTGATTGAAAGATTTTTTTCCAGTAAAATTAGATGTGGAAATTTCTTTTGTGGACATATTGCCTTCATGAAAAACTAACAAACTAACCATTTCCTCCGGATGTATAATTGTCCTTTTTATCTTAATGTGTCTAGAACGCATTTAACAGGAATATATATGTACATTTCAATAGTTAGAAATGTTGCAATTATGTAATTTAACCCTCTAAAAAGCATCAATGCCAGGTATGCATACACATGTATTCAGAATTAAAGGAATCAGAGTACAGAGTACAGAGGCAAAGAATACTTGCACAAATTAGTTACTTGAAGACAAATTCTTCATATCCCCCGCCCTTTTTAATACATGTATGTCGGACTCCATAAAATCACAATATACATATTTCAGGCGATTATGCTTGTCGTAAGGCGCGATTGACGGGATCGGGTGGTCAGACTCGCTGACTTGGTTGAGGAATGCCAATGATGTCAATCACTGGATTGTCTGGTCCAGACTTCATTATTTACAGACCGCCGTCATACAGCTGGAATATTGCTGAGCGCGGCGTTAAACAACAAACAAACATATCTCTGCTAAAAGCAGATACAATTGTACGATTCAGAACGTATCATGAGCATGTGTTTATGAATTACTATCAGATTATGACGGTACCAGGTGTTACCGAAAAGGTGAGCGTACCCATTCGTGACATTCGTCACAAATACATGTAAAGGCAAGTCAATTGTTCACCTGAAAACAACCACGGGAACCCATGGTACAACAAGTCAAACTAGGGAATTGCATCGGGCATACATTTTTGTCACTGATTCGATTAATTTGGAAATGTCCTCTTAAAACGTTTTAAAAGCTTGCCTGTGGATGTCATAACCTTGATCAAACAACGTTTGAGTGAGAGTCGTATGACGTTGTTTGACATCCTCGAAGAAAGGGTCATCTATTTCTAGTTCAGGCGGTTAAATCGCTGGAAGGGAATAAGCTATAACGAAAGTCATTGTGTTAATGATTGTGGTTAATCTTTGAGACGGGGATTAGCTAGACCAAGCAAAGTATCTCCCTTTGTACGGATTTGAAAAGCATACTAAACATACCTCCAGACACAATCAAAGCTTCCAGAAAGTTGATCTTCTCAATGGAGTCCACAATTGCCAGGTGTCCTCCAAATGATGACATGCAGTTTATCCTAGCCGACCCGTGAAGATCCGGGGTAGAATAGGTCTTCAACGACCCATTCTTGCCGTAAAAGGCGACTATGAGGCGTAAGAGGCGATCGGTTGGTCAGGCTCGCTTAGTTGATGCATGTCATCGATCCCAATTACGTGGATCGATGATCATGATGTCAATCACTGGATTGTCTCTTCCAGACCTTTTTTTTACCGACCATATAGCTGGAATATTGCTGAGTGCGGCGTTAAACAACAAACAAACAAATATCAGCTTGTGAATACGAGAGCCATTATAATAAGGTTACTACGTCAATGCTTTAAAAACCTTCTCTAACATTTGTTCGTAATGGTACTTTTCAATATTCAAAATGGCACTTTTCATGTGATATAAATGTTGTTTTTCAAACTTTAATTATATTCACAACAACATAGAAAATAAATAAACTATTCATGAATAGATGCATGATTTTTCGTTTAATATTTGGTTGTTGTTTGCAATTAACAGCCCCTCATCAATACTCCAGCAATATGATGGCGGCCTGTAAATTTCGATTTGGACCAGACAAATCACTGATTGATATTATTAATAATGTCTCACTGTTTGGGTATGCTGTCACACGTTGCTATGGACCGTTTTGTATTGTTAAGACAACATGACTATTCGCATCAACGATGGGTTCGACCTGTGAAGATCCGGGATAGAACAGGTCTTCAGTCACCCATGCTTGCCGTAAAAGGCGACTATGCGACGAAGCTGATCATGAGTTGGTTTGCTGTAATTAAGGGACATTCACTCGTTATAACTTATTACAACCTGTGTGAAATTAGTTGCACGAACAGAGGTTGGATAAGGCCCGTGACGATCCGGGGTAGAATAGGTCTTCAGCAACCCATGCTTGCCGTAAAAGGCGAGTATGCTTGTCGTAAAAGGCGACTAACGGGATCGGGTGGTCAGGCTCGCTGACTTGGTTGATACATGTCATCGATCCCAATTGCGTGGATGGATGCTAATGATGTCAATCACTGGATTGTCTTTAAAGACAACAATGTCGAGCAGATATCTGAATAATTTCGACTAACTTATTTTCAGATTGATATCCATTAAACAACGTTTTGTTTTAAAAAAAATTCGTCCATTGTGAAATCCGCTTGAGGAATCGACATGTGTCTGATCAATAAGGCGTTAGAAACATCTTTCCATGTAAATTTGGGTTAGTCAGATACCACTTTATAGGGAATCTTCGTAGTCTTGGTCATTAGATTTAAAGTTACTCTTCACGAAAATCATTACAATTGTGGAATGGTCTGTTTTGTATCGTGTCTGCATTCAAGAGTTTATATCAGGCCCGCTGACTTGGTTGATACATGTCATCGATCCCAATTGTGTGGATCGATGCTCATGATATTAATCACTTGATTGTCTGGTCCAGACTCGATTATTGCTGAGTGCGGCGTAAAACAACAAACCAAACCAAATGTCATATCCAAACATACTACTAGAACATAAACAGTAATCGGCCAGATTCGTTACCTCACCTCGGATGCATGCATACGCGCCGCATAAATCCACCCAGACAACGGCCATTTAGCATATGAATGTAAAGCGTAGAACACAACAGTTACTCCTTTCCATATTAGTATAGACATCGTCACTGCTCGTCCTTAGTGTACATAATGTGTCACAAGCATGGTCCATTACCTTCAGACAGAAAATGTGTCTGTTATCATCACCAATAACATAATCATCTATATCACCACTTCGTTGTGGTTCCCAAAGGAAATTATACATGACAGCTATAAGAGATCTTTCAATATACTCTATACTTTTGAAGAACCTTTTATCAGTACGCACAGTTTGCGGGATGTACATAAAGAAACAAACCCGTGAAGATCCGGGTCAGAATAGGTCTTCAGCAACCCATGCTTGCCGTAAAAGGTGACTATGCTTGTCGTAAAATGCGACTAACGGGATCGGGTGGTCAGACTCGCTGACTTGGTTGATGCACGGTCATCGATCCCAATTGCGTGGATCAATGCTCATGCTATCAATCACTGGATTGTCTGGTCCAGACTCGATTGTTTTACAGACCGCCGTCATATAGCTGGAATATTGCTGAGTGCGGCGTTACACAACAAGCAAACAAACCCTGAGGATGATATTACCATATTTTATCCGACTGAATTAAACACTTCCTAAGTTATCTTGAATATAACATATCTTACGTGCATAACCTTGAGAGTCATCCCTTGGTCTAATAAATGAGGTGGTGGCCTAGTCGTCTAAGGCGCCGCAATTCCCTGTGTAGTGTTCAGTCACTAGGACAGAAACCTATGATCGTGGGTTCGAATCACGGTTCGCCCAAACTTCGTTTCTTAATTTGTCATATCCGTGGTCGTGGGTTTCATCAAAGTGGTAAATGTCTCTGAGACCTGTATCACTTCTGGCTTTTCTCGTACAGCTGACACGCATTGAAACCACTTAAATACAGTTCAAACTCACCCAATCATTTTAATGAATAACCAGCGGAGCATACCCTTTTTTGTGACTGCAATATTTACGGACAAATTAAAGATTAATCTTTATTTTCTGTTGATAAACGCAACGGATACATTCCAGTAAAAACAACAATTTGACATCCAAAACATTATTCAAACATTCTTAAAAAAATTAAACCCTTTGTATTGACATTTGGGTTTATTATGGTTTTCGTGGCATCAGCAATTGTTCATCAAAATAGCAACGTACAGACATTGAGATATCTTGAACCTGGGTACGGATCACAGATAGGGACATTTATAACTCACATTTTACATAAAAAACATGATACAAACATTCACAGAAAAATTAACCCTTCGTATTTCATATAACGACTGATTGCAAGTACTGAACAGTTGTATTCAATTTCAAATATTTGGCAATACTTTTGATACAGTTATAAACAACGTCATCTTGTCCCGACCATTTTTACCACAATTATAAATTCAAAAATCAAAGTGTAAGTATTTGTACGGCATTTGCCCCATAATTCCAATTAAAACCGTGATAAGTTTGTGATATTTTGATGGATACCAGCACAATCAACTAACTATATATGATAACACTGCACCATATGCTTCCTTAGTTCCTTCAAACACTCTGTCAATTGCAGTCAAGTAAACTAGAAATGGTATTTTAAATAAACAGAGCTTTTTATTCAGAAGTGGTTTATGTTAGATCATTCTTATATTTGGAAATCGTGATACTTGCATATTGCAAACAATGTATGTGTACACAGATTTTATGATGAAATACTGAGCCGTTAAAGCGTTGTCTGAAAACGAACCCAACCCTCCATTGAAAGTCTAGGAGGCTGCAATGCTAACGCACAAGAATAACTTTTAAATATTTAATGAACAATAACTGAAAGCCATGCAATCTTTCAGCCTTGAAAAGGCAAGAAAACTCTAAACGTAAATAAATAATGGAGACATACGGTTATATGTAAAAACAGGCAAATCCGATGTGTACACAGATAGCATACATTGTTCAGAATGAAGTGAGTCAGACGTGACCTCCATATAACATATATCCATAATTGTGCACAAACCCAATTGCAATTCAGATGTAAGGTGTTTAAAACGACCTTTCACAGATAGAGAAGTTATTCTCAGTGCATGGGCGGTTTTTCCATCCTCTGCCAAACTTCCATACAAGGCAGTCATGACCAGCGACGCCTGTTGGTTGTCCCGGTTGCCAGAATGTAAAGCTCAAAGGACTTTCATCCACCCATCTCGAACTGCCATCGTTCTGTATATTCGAGGCACCGATGTAGAACTTGGTATTGTGGAAGTCTCCTGAAGTATATATATGGGTAATTCAGTGGAATGGAATCGTCTATTTGAGTATTATTGTACCCGTGAAGATCCGGGGTAGAACCGCCGTCATATTGCTGGAGTATTGTTGAGTGCGGTGTTAAACAACACACACACACACACACACACACGCGCGCGCGCGCGCGCGCACACGCACGCACACGCACAATTGCGTGAATCGATGCTTATGATATCAGACTCGATTATTTACAGACCGCCGTAATATATAGCTAGAATATTGCTGAGTGCGACGTTAAACAAAAAAACAACCAAAACCAACCTGAAGTAAGGATTACAGCCACAGAATTCATAGCTACGTGTATGTCATCTCAATTTAGATTGCTACGTGTATCTCGGATATAATGGTACACCTTTGTGAGAGGTGAATTATGTTTATGCCGTAAGGGCTGTAACAGCGACTTGCAAATCATCGAGTATGAGTAAGAGAAACCAGTGGTTAATATTATGAGCAAATTCCCAAGTCGCCGGGGTACCAATACTACCAATATCAACCATGTCACCGAAGTGTTGGCAGCAGTTTACCCAGAATGCGTGATTCGCTGTTTGCTTGGCCTAGACGGGATACTTTTGATGCAAACAACTTTCCGTTCCTAATTTGTCCTTTCTATTGCTATTTTACCGAATTGGCTATAAAGAAATTGCACATACAAATGTTTAAACAATGATTTGTAACATATTAAACGTACCTGTAGCGTTAATCAAAGCTGACAGAGAGTTGATCTTCTCAATGGAGTCCACAATTGCCAGATGTCCTCCAAATGAAGACATACAGTTCACCCTTGCCGTGTCCCACACAGACTTATTAAGAACAAGAATGTAGGGATGGTCGCCATTAAAAGACACCGGAGCTAAAATATGGAACAGAAGAAGATACGTGTTTAAAAAAGGGAGAAAAACACATCAAATAAGTTTAACGTTAACTATCAAACACAGACCTTGGCTCAGTGAAGGTGGTTCAGATATTTGGCCCAGAATACAGAATGATAGTTGCCTTGCACGCACGTTACCTTTGCACTGAATTGAAGACTCCACACTTGGCTTGTTGTTTAATGCCACAGTCAGCAATAGGCAAACTATATGACGGCCACCTGTTAATAATCGATTCTGGACCAGATAAACCAATGGTTGACATAATGAGCAACGTCCTACGCCGTCTCGGTGCGATGAGTCACCAAGGTTAAACACCCAATCCCTTTATTCGCCCCTATACGACAAACTATAAATGTCAAATTGTGTCTCGTCACGATATGGCTGAAATATTGCCGATGTGACGTTAAACATTAACTCACTCACACTCACTTACGACAAACGTTAATGTAGGGTGCTTGGAGCCTATCCTAACCAGGAATTCTATCAGGGTTGAAGTTGATCATGAGTTGGCTTGCTGTAATAAAGGGATATTCACTCCTTATAACTTGTTACAACCTGTGTGAAATTAGTTCCACAAATAGAAGTTGGATAAGGCCTGTGAAGATCTGGGGTAGAATAGGTCTTTAGCAACCCAATCTTTCCGTAAAAGGTGAGTATGCTTGTCGTAAGTGACAAGGGATCGGGTGGTCAGGCTCGCGGACTTGGTTGATGCATGTCATCCATCCCAATCACGTG